AGACCAGGTTTCACGGGTTAGTATCTAGTCATTTCTGTACATGTATGTGTATCATTGCCAAAAACATGTTCATGTCTTGTATTGTCCTATGTTATAATATGTATGTCTGTCAATAGGTTAGGGTACAAAAGCAAATGTATGCTTCACCCTTTACCTAAATGTTGTTCTCTTAACGTGTTAATATGTTTTAATAAAGGTTGCGATGGTAATAGATTATATGCAAGTCAAAGTCAAGTCACAAGTCATTGAGTCCATTCATAAACATAGCGACTCAACTCCAAGACAAATGACTCGAGTCAGCAACTCTGCTAAACGTGAGTGAGAAAAAAGGCGTTATCCTTCATGTCCTTGGTCATGTTATTCACAAAATGCACAAATCCCCATTTATACAAAATGAACAAGATCAAGCCATCGATCTTGTTGCACAATGTGCTGAATGGTCGTGGTGGTTGGCCAAGGCTACGCCTGTGCCATGCCACTGGTCAGGTACCGTAGTCAGGGTCTGCAGCTAGATCGACCTGTCAAGTGCATGTCATGATCACGTGCAATGTCGACATTACGTCTACATCGGCACGGAATATATCACAGAAATCTCGTCCTAGGTAATTTTTCACATTTCCACGTACATGTACACTACAAACAACACAGTTACATGCTACATTTAAAAAAATTAAAAATTCAGTAACCTGAGGTCTGACTCCAAATTTCGTACCCACCTGCAAGACCTGTCACGCGAGTCCAGAAATCTAACAATGTGGATGGAGCTAGTACATATGAAATGTACATGTACTATAGTGTGCCGTAGCTGCCCAGCTAGCTAGCTCGAGCTCAGCGCGCGTCTTTGCTCTCTGTCGATAGACTAGACAGTCGATCGTCCGGTAATCGGCAGGATACCAGCGTGGGGCGGGTATTTTGGTCGAGCATGCCATCCATGGAGTGGGGGGGGGCACGACTCCCGTCACAACCATTTTGCCAAATGTTGAAAAGGTAAGCCATACATGCCCCAAATGTCATTTTGGGATGAATGTGGACTTTGGAAAAGTTTCAGCTGAAAAAGCGGTTTTCACCTAAGATTAACTATCCTTGATTTTTAGTAATTTTAATTGGTGGTTAACGAATGAGGGCGGTGTTTGCCTAAATAGTTAGGATCTTTATGGGCGCTTCATGAGCTAGCTGCTGGCAACCCCTCCGCGGGCGCGGGCTCCGCGTCCAGTGTTTAGTAATGCTGAAAACCGAAGGTACACCAGCAGCTGACAGTGCCCTAAACTGCTCTGAAACATATCCTAGTCCCCTAAGGCGAAACGGGGGGTGTGGCTTGAGCATAGTGAACTATTTCACTTGACCGAGGGAAGAGAGTAGGGTAAAATCGTTAAGTATTTAATTTTAAGCAAGTTGTTAATGCCTGAGCGGCCCCTCCGACGACTCGGACGGCCGAAACCCAGTGCGCCACTTTTTATTATTTTGGGATCAACCAATTATGGCGTAAATCTTTCACAAGAACTGCGGGGAAAGGGGTATGACGGTCTCAAACTGGGAATTCCTAATCAAAATACCGAAAACATTTCTCAGACGAACATGCTGCAAAAACTTTTTCAATACAGACCATGAAAAATCCACCTTTTTGTTTCAATTCAACCGATTTTCATTTTTTTTGTTTTTATCTCAAGTGGGACCTTTTTGGTTTTAATGTTAATATAAAGTTCCATGTTGAGCAAAACTGATGCAAGGCACCGAGCCTCAGTGTGTCATTAATATGGGCACAAATTGCTCGATTTATTTTTTACTTCGCAATCAAAGATTTCCTTTCACAATTTATTGTTCAATGGGTATATATGGCAATGAGTTAGTGAGCACATTAATGTTATCAAAGAGAAAATTTGGGGTTCACAGTTTGAAAAACATAACAATATGCACACAGTGCAAAAGTTTCTTCTTGGATGGGGATTTACATCATACTAACAGCGCCTTCACTTGTCTGAAGAAGGAACGTGCTCTTCATAATTCACGTAACTCCGAAAGGATTCCAAACAGTCTTCATACACTGAAGAAGTGGCTGAACGAGCACAAAAAGTGATTCTGAGGAAAAAAATCACTCTAAATTCTGCGTTTGATCCAAACGGTAATTGTAAAGCTCTTGCACTTTTTAACTGCCTGTTCAGTTCCAATACATGTTGGCTCGGGCGTGTTTTTGGTGACCAGAACCACGAACTTGTTTCAGCACAGCCTGGAAGTTGACCTCTGGTGGCGCGTTTTGTACCGGAACCCTTTGTTAGGAAAACATAACGTGCAACAATTTTAGGATTATATAGTAATTGTTTTCCGTTCGTTTAAAGTTCTTAATAAGATCAATTCAGAAAAAGGTCTTTGTAAAATATTTGCTAGCGTTATGAAGTTATAGAAACTTTAAAATTACCTGACCTGAAAGAGAAATATCCTGACAAAATTTGACCTCTCACTTCCAAAAATCTAAAATACATAAAATCCACTGCAACTCGGTGGTCTGGTACGCAGATGCAGTGAATAGTTACGACATTATAATGTATTGTAGCGTGTCCCGCTGCACAGGGTTCGACGCTGTAAGAACGACACAGTGGTGCAACTCACTGTTCTGGTCACAAAAATCTCTGCTTTATTCTGTCGCAATACTGACAGCACTACAATGTCCTCTTCCGACAAGCTCTTCTGGCGGCAGGGACTGCGCAGGCGCGAGGCGGGAAAACCGCGGGCCTCTCGCAACCAGCGCGGGCAGCCAGCCAACTCCATGCGGGTCCGAGCTGACGCCCCCGCCGGCCGGACCCGCCGGCGCTACAGTATGGAAGTCTTTCGGTCGAAGCTAAAATGAAAGAGTTCAAAGTTTTTAAGCATCTTAGAATTTAAAAGGAAACAAACTTTAAGGGATTGACAACAGATTCTAAAGTATAATCTAACTGCTGCTGACAAGAACGGCGCCGTCAGATCAACTAGACTGAAGTCAGTGAACCAATTGACTCCACGTGGGTAAGTCTTTGTACAACCTCGTTTTCACGTAAACTTCTAAGGCGAAAAGACAAGGAGACCTAGGAACGACATTGCCGTTTTTTTTAAGCTATTCCCTGGTGATATTTCCATATTATTCCAGGAGGGACGTTTTACTTAAATTATTAATTTGTAGAACTTTAGTTTATGTCGTTTTTAAAATCAAAGCCTGGGCCTTATGGAAGACCATGGAGAATAAGAGAGATTCTTCCTTTTAGAGTGTAAGTGAAAAGAGAGAGCAGCACTGGTGGGAAACGTGCCGAATATTTAGTGAAAATGATGTTTATCAACAGTGATGTCTGCTTCGTTACGCTTGCCTCTGTCAGATGACGTACCGTTTCTGCTTCTTCGTTTTTGTGGGCAACCTTTAACATGTCTGGCAATTGCTTTCACAAAGAAGGTTCTAGTTAATCGCCATAACATGCCCGTGTATGGGCCTCGAGCTGGACCAAGAGAGGGCGCTATTTTCGTAGCAACGGCGTCTCCTGTGGTTGGAAATGATCTTCACTTGGTTCGCGAACGACCAGGAAGCAGGAAATGCGAAACACGAAGGGAACTCATGAAAATATTTAGGTTTGATATATCAAAGGTAGCAATTGTGAGTGAGAAAACGTATAAATACGGGTGTTTAAATATGGAAAGGGTTGTTTAGAGGTGTTTTGTGCAGAGAAAAGACAAAGAGGAATCGTTCTATATTTTTTAAAGCTAATTCACCATGTCCACAAATTGAGTAGGCTTTCTTGGCATGGCACTTTTATTCTGTATGACTTTGTTCAATAGACCTTTTCACAAATAAATCCATGATTATGCACGCATGCACACAAATGGCCTTGGCGACAAGAAGTGTGAGAGGGCCATTGAACATGTACAGGAGTGCGACTTTGAAGCTCATTTTCTCTCATTTTTTTTTCTGGCTTTGCTCATCTTTTCTTTAGAAAATCCCTTCAAATCGTTTTTGCGATTAGTTTCTAATCTTAGCCGGATTTGCAATGCTCCGTAAAAACACTTTAATGTAATCGTGATTTTTCCTGTGGGCGTGAGAAGGCCGTTTCCTAGCTATAGTATGACCCCCTTCCATCATAAGGAGTATAAATTACCCCGTTAGTGTTGAGAGGGTCCGTTGCATCGCCAGCCTTTCAAAGTGTGTCGCATTTAGCGATGGGGACACAGGGTGCGTAGGCCCATTGCTCCCGCTAAATAACGTGACCTCTACTGGGTATCAACCCCATAGTACCCAGCAGGCCGTACTCAGACTACTGATGAGAGGTAACGCGTTTATGAAGCGCATAACAGTGGCTTTGTATTTATGACCTCCATTTTAAAATGCACAATGATCCAGCAGTATGCTGGGTAATAATGGGGCTGATTTCCACTAGTAGGTCACGTTATTTAGTGGGCGCAATCGGTCTATTGAACGCTGGTTTTGAAACGTGCACAATTAAGATATCATAAAAAAGCATTGCTCGTTTGCCAACCTGCTCCATGTTTAGGCTGTACCAGGCAAAAGACTGAGACACTGCCTCGGGCGATCAAAGAGGTAACACGTTTATGAAGCGCATAATAGCGGCTTTGTATTCATGACCTCCATTTAAAAATGCGCAATGATCCAGCAGACCACGTAATAAACAAAGTCCGAAAGCCCACTGCCCTGGGATGTTGAGAAGCAAGATTGGACCATTGGACTAAATACAAACCATGAAGTTAAGAACACCTGTATGAATTCGTGAGTCCTTCAAAAATCAAACTCGGCTGGTTTGAGGACCACAACAAAGCTTTTGATAGTAAAAAGGCAACCGGCCAATATGAAAACTGAGCTAAAAAGCGCATATCAGAATGCCCCGTTCATTTTTTTTGTCATGGATAGAGACTATTTGATCATCAACAATGAGATCTATAGGAGGTTGTTTTAAATACCATTATGCAACGCAAAAGTTGAAGCAACACGTTGCTTGCTTGCTTTGTATAAATTCTACCAGTCTTTACGAAACAAAATTCTTCGCAGATTCTCATACTTTCGAGGATGGGACATTTAATAAATTATTGTTGCCAGCGGTGCATGTAGGGGGCCATGGTGTTTGTACACCAGAGGGGGGAAAATGGAACTCGAGGCGAAGCCGAGGGTGCCATTTGCCACCGGGGAGTACAAAACCTATGGACCCCGTCACAGCAGGCAAATGTTTTGTTATACCATGGTATAGATTACATTGGATCAGTCTTATACACGCATATTTTATTGCAAGATAAATGAAAACACACTCAAACCGTAGATAAGATATGAAATTACAATGAAAGGGTAATTATTAGTTGTGATGTTTGTTAATCTATGTTTCAGTTTTTGCTTGGGGAGGGGGGTTAGAGTTTACATGTATAACAAATTATTTTCCTAGAGAAATCTGGGATTCATAAGCACTGGGGTTTTGTCAACTGGTTGAATTTGAAGACATTACCTATACCAAAGTCCCGCCGTTGAAAAGAGATGAAAAGAGACGACATGATATAAACAACAACGGTAATCGCAGCACAAATTGTGACCCGGTGCATACTCGTGTTCCACAAGCTGGGTGCATGAACGGCAGTTTTTAAAAAGATATACTGTGATTATACTAAGGCTGTGTTTTTATCGCATAAGCCGCCAGTTTGGCCTTATCGAAGCATTGCCATTGGTTGACCCAAAATTAAAATCACACTTCGCTAGCAGGAAGTTATAACCATGGGCATATGCCGTGAAAAGTATTAGAAAATGTTATATGAAACAGTCATGAAAACCAGGCCAATACAAGCGATTCACAACCACAGTGGCCTATCACAATGCACTAAATCTGTCGACCCTTTCCAAACGTGCATTGGTTCGATGAACTTCGTATGTGATAGGCCAACATGTTGCAAACTCTTGGAGGCGCCCTATTTTGAAACGCCCGTGGGTACTGCTCTATCGAGCAACAGTTTTCAGCAGGCAGCTTCAGTTTTTTCCAAGCCTTCAACAGTTTCTCTTTTACCAGGCGTCCTTTGGCTAAATGGACCATGGATTGCCAGGGTGTGACAGTAGTGATGCGTGATAAGTGGCAAAGGGGACCCCCCATTGAGTCTTTTTTGTGTTGACGGAATCCTTGGAATAAGTTTCAGATTTCCGGGGAGGGTGCAGCAGTAGGCAAAATAACCTTAGGGTATATGGCTTGCCCATCAAATGGGGGGGGGGTCCCCTTTGCTGCATATCGTTATGAATATAGGGTGTGAGTGCCCCTATTTCCTGGGTATTGCAAATTAAGCGCATGCGCAGAGTTGAGCTTCGAAACACTCCCTTGCATTCATGGAGACCAACAGGTACGTGCTTTTGTTATCGCAAAATTTTTGCCTTACATGTATTTGGAGTACAGCTAAACTGACTCGTAACTTGTAGATGTGGGCGTGGCACGTGGTCCCATTTCACAAGCATCGGTCCGCGACGGCAGTCAACTTCCAGCGAAATCTCAGTCTCCAACACAAAGCCAGCTATAGTTTCTACTGTGTTACCAGAGTTGACGTCCCGTACAAACTCAAGACCAAAGGTAGATTCAGTAGATGACACGAAAAGACGGTTCCATATACGGACGAAACTCAACATCCCATGCACAAACCCTATGAGGCTGGTCTGAAAAATTGTTTTCTAAGTAAACAACGTGTTTTTCCCTCATAAATTGAACGTTTCTGGACACGCTTTTGCTTTCTGAAGGCTAATAGGTCACTGTAGGGATGGCGTCCATGTATGGAACTCTTCCCTTCTCAGTATTTTCTGTACAAGTAATAAGCCTTTTGCGAGTTAAATTTCAATAAAATCTGTTACACCGAGTTATCTGACTGCACATAAGAAATTTGAATAATTATCCTAGTGTAAAGACACTATTGCTATACCTCGTGATTTGGGGCAAGCTTTTGCATAGCGACCACCATCCCTGGGTTGGACTGGTTAATCCTTGATGCCCTTGTTATGCCACGTATGGTTCCTTCCTCAACTTACATTTCTTATATTATTCAGGGTCGTTACTGACCTCCAGCGAGCTTTAGTGATAGAAACGAGACATCTGATAGAATTATTTTGTCATGCAATGATTATGTAATGGATTATGCAGAAGCTGTTTTCGAGCAGTGAAAATTCTTTATTTCCTTTCTTCCATGAAAGCCATGGTATTCTTGCAACCAAGGTTTTAAACAGAAGATTAACCAAACACAATGAAATTAAGGACACCTGCATGAATGGTATGTGTACGTCGTTCAAAAAAGTCAGACTCCGATCCCCAGGTAAAGGCTTCGGGGAAACTGCAATCAAGCAAGGTGCTTTGTGCTTGTCTTCCTACCTATAATTTGTCACTCTTCAGTGTAGGCCTAAGGAAGCAGGCGGATATCGGTGACTCGGTGCATTTTCACAAATAAATTTATCATGGAGCAGCACTGGACTTCACAGAGAAACTGCATGGTAATCTGTGAAATGTTGCGCACATTCTCTAATGACATGCAGTCCTTGGACCTTTTTAAAAAGATGTCTGCGTGAAGATCGCACTTATCGCTATACCCTAGCTGCACGATATGCAGCAGAGGGGGACCACCCTAATATGATGCACAAGCTTTATACCCTATGGCTATTGTGCCTACTGCACCCCCCCCCTCGGAAACCTGAAAGGAAGTCTGAAGATTCCATCAACACAAACGAAAACACAGAGTGGGGGTTCCCCTCAGCCGCATATCGTGCATTACCGGTATGTGCTTATCGCACATCCCCTTGCACACATATTAAATCTTTCTTTTCTTACTAGATCTGTCCCTTCAGATCTTCAGATTGCCAACATTACTCCTGATCATAAAGTGGCAATCCTAAGGACATTCATAACCCAATTCAAAATTCTTGTGTGTCATTGTTAATGATAAGCTTAGCTGGAGTGACTTCATCCGTCTGCAAGATTGTTTCCCGTAACATTGGCGTCCTTTCCCAACTTCGTTCCTTTCTCCCAGCTCGCACACTTTTTTTGCTTTATAACACACTTATTTTGCCTTATCTAACAAATGCACCCTTTCACGCCTAGGTAGAGATCATACAGCACCTTTCTTTGCTTCTCTTCACACATTAACTTAATCTGATATAAATTGAAATTCCACACAGGAATTTTCGTGTATAAGCATGTTAACAACTTCTTACTTTACCGCAGTTCATTCTGTACATAGCCACAGCACAAGAGCACTTCTCAATATGTTTTTGCCTTTTGCACGTACATCCTATTCCGTGAATACACTGAGATTCTCTGGACCCCATCTTTGGAAAAGTATTGATGGTAATATTAAGTCCCAGTCATCTGTGGGATGTCATAAATCTTTCATTTATTGACATTGTGTGCTTGATATATACATTGGAAAACGGAAATAAATGTCGAGTCAAAAAAAAAGATTGCGGTGCTATCCATTCGCTTAAAATGTTCAAACTTCAAACAAAACAAGCACCTGGCAGGTGTTCAAACTTCAAACAAAGCAGGCAAATTGCAGGCGTTAAAACTGATCTGGATGCTGGTCTCCATAATTCATTAATTACTGAGAATCTAACCGAAGCTGTTACAACCTGCTGGTCGCTTGTCGGCACAAACCACATTACGGGCACCGCCCTTCTAGTCAGTGTGTCAAGAGCTGTGAGTGCACGTGGTTCATACAAACGCCCTTATTGGTGCATCATCATAGCGCCCTCTTGCGGTATTGGATTTTGGCACACGGTATTTACAGCAATTTCTGAGAACAAAGACTGATGTAGCAGATCATTTTTACTGTATAAACAATAGTTTTCAAAAGCTAAATTTTTTAGTCTCGTTGGGTCGTACACTGTTTAGGTTGGCAACATTTTCAAGGTAATGGTTTACTGCAGGTAGGCTGGAGATACTTTTTTCCTTTTGTTACGTTTCGTTCTTTTGCCACTGAAGTTCGTGTTTCCCCATTAAAAAAATGATTCTAAATACCACCTTTTTGCGTACATTTGTTTCCACAGATGAAACCATTTACCACAGCTCTCCTTGCGATTGTCGCCACGTTGTTTGTGATGACTGATGCAGCTGTGCCCACATGTCCCCAGTTTTTGACTTACGGTAAGATTCCACATTGTCACCGTAAAGAGTACTTCCAAATGCCCCATTCGTGTTTTTTTCTTTTCTTTTCTGATGGACTGGGGTATTTGATCATCAACAAAGAGATGTTACTGATTGTTTTAAATGCCATTATTCAATACAGATGATGAAGCAACAAATTAAGGCTCTCCTTTGGTGTTTTTTTCAATTCTGCCGGTCACTGCGATCTAAACGCAAACGGGGTCACGAAGCCTCGTGCTTTCGAGAACCAGACATAATAGCTAATGTTCCAAGAAGCAAAGAAGCAAGTCTTGCAAGTCCGGTTCAAGTCAAAAGTCATAAAGGTGACAGCAAGTCAAATCATGTCACGTCACGTGCCATTTGGTCAAAACACAAGTCAAGTCAAGTCAATTCAACGCTAGGAATTAATTTTAAGTCAGTAATTGGAGGTCGCAAAAAAGGACTCGGGTCTGAGCTGCATGTCTCGGTCAACAACTCTGCCAAGGACAGTATTTCTCTCTTGTAAGGATTTTTTTTTATTTTTCAAATAATTTGTTTCATCTGTAGACGACACCATGTACTCCATTTGCCTCTCCAAGGATAATTACGGGTACGACGGTGCGTGGAATTATTGCCACACAATATCCGCCGATATGTGTACTCTTGTACAGCTGGCGGAGCTCTACCGGTTGGGCACCAGGGACGACCACTGGGGGCGCATTGCTACCATCGGCAAAGAAAGGGACGCCCGACTTTCGCCCTGCGGTGATTACAAAGGAAGGGAGTGCTACAACAACGTCGCCGACGAGCCGTATTTCCCAAACACCCCCAGACCAAACTGGTATGAACAGGTGTACTGCTGTAAGAACGCCAAGTGAAGCTGCGGCTCTATTTACGGTATCGACAGATTTCGGCAAAAAATGGCAATTCTGCGGTTATACTTTTTAAGTTACATTAATTTTACATTTGGTTCTTTTTTTCACTGTTGAGAACAAGGCTGTCATAACAATCAAAGGGCCCGGCTATTTTGGTCTGTCTCACAGACAGGGGAGGAGTTCTCCCTTCCGAACCCAGTTGCCGGGATCGTTTTGAAACTTGTCATGGGTATGTAATGAAGTTTGAATTTAAATAATGGGTTTTGATTGCAAATTCAAGGTTCATGATCTCAAATGTGTCGACCCGCGTGCGTTGAACATGTAATGAAAAGAATGTGGATTTAAGGTGGCTGTTCATGTCTCGGAAATACGCGTTGCGAGAGGACGGGGTGTCCGATTTTCTGGGTGTTTAAAATAACTGCAAGATCGATGCTAGTGAAAAAAACTCTTAAGGCTCGGCAGGTGAACAGTGCACTATGATCAAACTAGAGAAAATGTTGAGGGGAGGATTCTGACCCAGGCTCTTTTAATCATTAAACCTACTCGTCTATCACCGTCCCTTTATGGATGCTGGAAAAATTGAATAATCAAGAGTACTGGTGCATCTGATTTGAACAGAGATACTCTCAATTAAAGCGTATATATTGAATTCATTTTTGTATTGGGTTTATACTTAAATTAGAGGACATTATTATTATACTTTGTTTCCTTAACTTTTTCTTGGTTCCTGTGTTTTGCAAAAAGGCCTTAACACGTTGAGTTCACTTCCGGTACCTAGAACTTAAACAGATTTCTTTTGTAATTTGATCTGTAAGATTTTTCGTGTTAGGTATGTTGTCTAGTCTAACACAGTGAGATTAACAATGATTGCTTTAAGTTGTTGAGGTTGACTAGCTTACAGTTTTCGGCGAGGCGTGAACTATTATTACTGACGATTACTATATTAAGAAATACTAATATTTGGAGCTAACGATATATGAAATAAAAATGGCATGCAAGTAATAACCATTGAGTTTGTGTTATCTTGGGATAGTCTCCAAGTTTGTGTTTTCTTGGGAGATTTGAGAAGTCTCCGTAGTGTAGTGTAATTCCCCGGTGACGAGAGAAAGTGAGGCGATGAGGCCAAATTTGGGGGTTCCTGTGCCACTCTCAAATTTTGGTTTATTGGAGATCTCCACTTTGTTCATGAAAAGACCTGCCAGTACAAAATTATTAATTTAAACAAACATGAATCTTTGGTTCCATAAATTAAATTCAGTGTCAATTTCCATGATCAATGAAGAGAATTGCTGGTGCTACATATAACTTAATTGCGATGTAACATGTACATACTGCGGATTTTCAAGGTCATGCATAAAATATTGTACATGTACATGCACGATAACAAAGGTGGAGATACACGTACGTGCACACCACATTACAAATTTGACATTCAACTTGCACCCTGCTACATACAGCCACTTTTATGACCTTACATTAGCTATTATATAACTCGCTATACATGTAACTCACTAGTCGATGTAGCCAATCTGCCCCTAGCCTAGGGCCCTCAACCCTGCTGGTACAATTCAGCAATTCCACAGGACCATTCCAGGCCCTGAACCTGGCGACTACAAAGTTATCTAGAATTTTTGGAAAAGATCCAAGGTCGAGGCGCGAACGACCGATTTACACGTATATTCATGGGCACAGGAGCTTAACTGATTGCAACTTAATCCCTCTATTAATCGATCTGAACTATTAAATATCTACCCATTTGCATTTATCTAAAACTCACAGAACCAAGACATTAACATTTAATAAATCAATGCATTATTAAACGTGGCACTTTCTCTCGTGCCCGCATAACATGTCCAAAACACCAAGATTACTACACGGCAACGTACCGAGCGATTCATGGCCAACATGAATAGTGCCCTCATGTGACTACAGCACTTAACAATTAGCAAACACCACAGCAGTTCCATAGTTGACTGCACTGCTGGAAACATTCCTGAACGCTGATTTGGTTTCGTAAGCCGTGTCCGAATTACTTGGTTGTGGCCTGACATTACGCTCGAGTATATGGTGGCGGCCACGGCTTGATCCCCTGACCTGGATGTGATTTCAAGCCACAACGTACAATATGTGATTTGGACGGCGGTTAGGCCTACAGACCTTTATCTTAATGCTACCGTGTTCCTTGTAGACTTATATTGGCAGTAGTTATACAAGTTTACATTTTAATTAATAAAAGTGATAAAATTTTTTTCTAGCTTCAGTTTGATTATGTTGGTTTGAATGGTAGAAAAGCAAGATGGCTGCCTATGATAGAGTTGTTCGTGTCTATCGGCCGCAAACCGGTTCTTTGCCATCCCCGACCTGAAGACTCCCTGCAATTCTTGATGAAACTTGGGTCAACTTTCATCCACGAAGTATGGTTTGAAATGATCGTTTTCAAGAGGTTTTAGATTCGTGCAGTAATAGACTTCTAAATTTGTTTAGCGCCCTCTGTCTCGAATATCTATCTTTAGACTGTTGAGGGATGATACCAAACGTAGCCTAGTGTATTCCGATGAAGTCGTAAAGCTCAGCTGAGCGTTATCCGTTTTACTGATCATTATCCCCGACTCTGCAAGTTTCGGAACTACGACCTATTAGACATGTTATGAACCTTTCTTTCACATTTTGGATTTTGTGGGAAGTTTTTGGAGACATATAAACACCTTTGTTTGTCATCCCCCGACCTTTCCTCATCCCCCAAATTTCCGACATAAATTTACGCGACTGATTATTTATCTCTGGAAAAAAGAATGATATAGCTAGACCACGTGTCCCACGGATTCGGCTTTTCACTGCAGCTCACGTACTCTTAACTCGGATTGATAATTAAGCGAATGATTAATCCGATCTAAATACATTATAATTGGCGTGTCTGGTAAGAATTAACAAAGACTTTTCCAGTCTAATATACTTTTCGTATCGCGCGCGCAGCGGCCAACACGCATGACAAGCTAAGGCTGCTGTTGTCGTTATCGTTCTAGTCCATGGCAAAACTATTTCCAATGGCTATTTTAGAAAATCGCCACGGTAAACATATAATTTGCCACGGTGAATTGATGGATATTAAGGGCGGCATTTTCATGCATAAAATGAAATTTGGCAAAGCTTTATTTTTTCTCGTAAACGTTTTCATCGGCAGAATTGAACTCGCCTACCCACCGAATTCAATACCTCCAGTGCAAGATTCGACCGAAAAATCTCTTTGATCCGCTTTTAGAGATAACAAATGAAAGGAAAGCTTCATTAAGATCTGGGGTAGCATGGTTCCTGTAAATTTGATCATTAAGAGCAATTTTAGGTGATTTTTTCATATTCTGTCAATTTATATATGCCTACTCGCAAATATTTTCTATGTTTTCTAAAGCCCCCTTTTTCAGTTGGATTTTTAAGAAGTTTTAACTGAACCAAAAAATATTGCAAATTCTCAATCTTTGCACATTATATTTCCTATCCAAGGGTTCCCGAAGCGCGCCACCAAGGGTCAAGTTTCGGGCTCTATTACCTGTTTATAATGTTTGGTGTCGGCTTCCGTAGTCATCTCGCTCAGCGAGCTCTTCACTCAAAACATGGCGCGGCGCTCTTGTGACGGGGATAGTGACGACAGCTGTGTGAACTGCGGTAGGGTGTACATGCAAGTATTAAGTAATGTGTTCCTTCTTCCCATAGAGTAAGGACACATTTGAGTATCGAGTGATGATGTTGTACAAGGAAGCAGCTAGAGTAATCAACCAAGTGAAGGGGAAACGGGGGACTATTAAATCGCTGGTCCATTCCAGCGAATGTAAGGTACAAATCACGACGCATATTATTACGGCTACGGAGTAGCCTAGGCCCCTGTACTACAACTAGTGTTACCGCACAATGTAGTTCCTTAGGAAAGAGTTCGGAAAGAGTTCCATTTACGGACACCGACAACGCTTGATGCCTCTGTCATGCCTGTCCTGTGCACAAACCTATCCTGCCTAGTATGAAACTTGTCAGTGTGAAAAAACGTAATTGTTTTCTAAGTCAGAATTTTCTTTTTAAAACATATTTACCACTTTCTGACGGTCGCACTAATTAATGTCAGCACAACGTAAACACAACGTCAACACATGATAGTAACGTCAACCCACCCAAATCACATTCTAAGTTAACAGAAATGCAATTCGATAGCAATATAATGCCTAAAATACAATTTGGCTAACAACAGTAGGCAACATTTTGGGGGAAAAGCCGTTTTATTTCACGAAAATAACACCTTCCGCACAACCACGAAAGACGGTAGCCATGTTGCCTCGATCAGACGGACGATACCATTATGCTACAGGGGGTCACCTTTATACAATAAACCATGGTACGGTCCAAACGCCGTGAGAAGGCAAGATGGTGGAAAACAGCGGCGCTTCTCAGAGACAATTTTTTCGCGTTAAAAAACTCCCTTGAGATGTAGTAAAATGTAAACTCAATTAAATAGAAATTATTTCTAAGTGTATACATTACAGTTCGGTACGTCTGTTTTCTGTTTTTAATGCATTTTTTGTATTTTTGATAAAGAGAGTGTTGCTTTCGGTTTGTTGGGGGCTGACCAGCGTAAAAAGATTAAAATGACAAAATAATAGGGGGTGGGGAGGATCCCCCAAAATACAATTCCTGTTAGGCCCACCCTACTTCCTGAACACTAGGAAGTTGTGCCTTACTGGTCAGGAAATAGGCCTACCCTAACGGGGGCATGGCCCCTAGAATGTAGCCAGTGCTAGCTGGAAATATCCAGCTGTATAGGAGCCTGTCTGTTTCACGTGGATCCGGATCGCAATCAGTGATCTGTCACTGGTTGACTGACAACAGAACCAGGTCTGGGATGACTGGTTGCGATCCAGATCCGTATGAAACAAAAGGCTGTGAGCATGCATGATACTTTGATAGATTTGTGACATCATAGGGAAATTTGTCATACAGGCCTACACTGTTAATGGTGTTCTCTACAAAGAGCTCTATTCAAACAACGCTCTGCATATACATGTAACAAGGAAATATTTAGACACTAATCCTCTCTTCCTTGTTTTTATTTTTTGATCGTGCAAGGTTCCTGTTTATAAGAAGGTAACCTTTATAGTCCAAAGGACCTCTTGTGAATGAAGTTCCATTGTACTTTCTACATTTACATGTATCTGAGCAGTCCTGAAAATGGACTGGTAATGACTCACTTTTAACTTTGCAGAATGTCAAGCAGCTTTACGCCCTCGTCTGTGAGACTCTCAAGTACTCCAGCATCATAGACCAGATCGCAGCCAGCACCAGGCTCCTTGAACAGGAGAGATGGCTGGACGAGACCATGGCCCAGGTCCTGCTCTACGAGTTGCTGTTTGGGAAAGGCATCCAGGTGGGGCAAAGCGTAACACCTGTTGCTTCATTTCACACCTGTGGACGGTCCCCATGGTCTGTGCTGACCAAGAGAGTGTACAGATAATGAATATTTATGAGTGCAATGGTAATGATTTTATGAAGCGACACTGTCATGTTCTCTTCCATGAAGTTTTAAAGCTAAGTGGAATGGAACATGTCGTCCGTCCCTAAATGAAATTATTCTTTCCACTCCATGAGTGTGAAATACGTTCATTTTTTTGTTTTAGATGATACCTGCGTAAATCCTCTTCCTCAAACAAATTCATGGTCCTCGGCAGTTAATGTCACTCATTTTATAAAAAAGATTCTTGTCTGAAGCGGCATACACTTGTAGTTTTGTGGAATGTCAGATTGGTTCCCAACCCTACATCATTTTCCTCTTTGTTATTGAGAATGAAATTCATGGAAGGGGGTGGGAACCAGTTACGTGAACTGAAGTCCTCTTCAACAGGTACCGTTGAAAAGAACGAATAATTCAATGACATGTGATCAGCGATCCCCCAATCAGATAGAAAGGGATTTATACAGGTATTTTATTAGGTATATGCTGTGGCGTCACTGGGGCACATGTACATTTGGCAAAGCCGCACTCGGGGGGCCCTCGTTATCCGGAGGTGGGCACTCAGTGGGGTTGATCAAGGTTGAAACACTGACCAAGGTAGACTAGTCCCAGATGTTTGTTCCCTCTCTAATTCCTGAGCGAGGGATCCCCCATTCTCAAATTTCCAAAAGCTACATACATCGGTCCCCTCCCCCCCAAGAAAATTTGCGCCAAGTTTTTTGATACGGCACTGATGCCAACGATGTGATCCTGGTTGCAGTGTCGAGGGTTGGACTTGGGGACTCATGCTGCCGTGTTTAGCTAGTTAACATCGGATTTTGTTACCTGAAAAAGCTGCGGGGGTGGGCTTTTCTTACCAGGAAATTCTTCAACCTTGCAATTGCGCTTTGACCCAATCAAGCATGACGCCTTAACACGTGAAGTGCAGATATGAAAAAAGAATTCTTAAACCAGTGTACACGACCCCCGTGGAACAAATAAGGAAAATTCTGTGTGTTTACATGTCATCCGGCTCAAGTGGTAAAGTTCCATGATGTCGGCGGCCACTGACCCAGTCTCACTTACACATCTGAATAAATTTGTTTGTTTGCTTGGAAGTGTGGAGGAAGGTACCGCCTTGCCATCAATAAACACAAGTCTGCCCTCACGTCAGCGCTGGCCAGGATCAAGGTGAAGATGGGTGTGGTCGACAACCGGGATCTGCTTCCGGACGTGGTGAAGAACGAAGGTAATGTCCTTCCAGTACGTTGCTGTGTGCAGTGGACTGTAACCAGTGACCTAAATAGGTCCCTTTCAGAATGACGTCACTTCCCACAGATTGCCACTTGCATCTGCTGTTTGGACTTTTGGACAAATTTTCGTGACGCCCATCTGCTGTGTTATATGTCAAAGATATTCGGACCACCACACGTGCGTTTATAGAACGTTTGCACACTGCAGGTACACAAGTCTCATGGCTTTCAGTACACAGTTGTAAGTTTCCTATGAAGATGGGACCCTACACCTATATGATAGAGATCGGTATTGAATGGCTTTAGCACACGCAAGCCACTGTGACCCACAAACTGCATTAATTAACAGTAGTTTGTTCATGCATGTGACAAAAGTTTGTGTGAATGCCACATGTCCCTAACATTACTACAAAAATCAGTGCCATATTGAATTGAAACTTTACATATACATATATTCTTCATGTGTCTTTCCCACTTGAGCAGAAGCACCTGCTGACCGTTGAAAAGAGCCACATGGGTTGGGAGTGTTCAAGTTGTTTGGTATGGATGCAGCTGTGGCACTTGCACTTCCTAGTTGTCTGTGAATCAGTGAGGTTCAGATTCGACCAAAGGAGCCTCCGTTGCTACGAAAATGGTGCCCTCTGTTGGTCCAGCACGAGGCCCATATGCAGGCCAAGTTTTGGAAAGATTGATGACTGAGCTAGCCAAGATCTTGGGGGGAGGGTTACATGTCCTGCACTCCAGCTTTGAGTACGTCACATTAAAATGGGTCCCTTCAGGGATCAAAACTAATGAAATCTCTGTCCCTTGTTTCTCAGTCATCTTGCCACGCTATGTGCGAGTTAACACTCTGAAGTCAACTGTGCACGACGTCATTCAGAACTTCTTGGAGGAAGGCTACCACTGCATCTTAACGAGAGAGCAGGCAAGCACGAAGAGACAGGAAGGACAAAGTGCCAATGACATCTGGTAGGTGGGACTTGATAACCCCAGCCCTGCCAAATAAAGGAAAGTTCAAAAGTCTCTTGGACTTTGATGCACCAAGCTATCAACAATAGCCATGTGTTTCCATATGTTTGTTCAAGTGTGCTTTCAACATATAGACCAATCTGAAATCAGTCTGGCCGTGGTGTGGCGTCCATTCCCGAGGAAAATTCACATTACCTTTGCTGGTTTGTTGGTGAAACAGTGGTCAGGGTTCCTGACGATCTGTGTGTGTGGTGCTCTGTGTAGGACCCTTTGAAAGACTATTGACTCAAGTGCCTCATTTTCTTTGTCTGGGTCACGTTTCGTAGCACGGAAAGAAATGACACATATATTAACATGTGCTGCAGCAAGTGATCAATGACTTGAATATTTCATTTAACATGTACAGTGAGATGCAGGCAGATTTTGTGAAGACTTTGAAGCCTCGCCAGTTCATGTGTGATGTTCATTTGGAGGACCTGCTAGTCTTTCCTCCAGCAACCGATTTCCATGACCACCACCTGTACAGGAGTGGAGCCATTATACTTCAAGACAAGGTACAAACTGAATCTCTTGAGAATAAGACCATTTACAGAATCTCTGTATGATTATATTTTTTTTCAAATGTTTCTGTAGTGTGTCTACCGCTGAAATAAATCCTTTGATTTTTCAAGTTTTAGTTTTCCTCTAATACTAATTTTATGTTTGATTGATGGCACTTTCCAATTTTAGGCCAGTTGTTTACCAGCTTCTGTGTTGGCCCCACCCCCTGAAAGTCACGTGATCGATGCCTGTGCTGCCCCTGGCAACAAGACCTCACATTTGGCGGCCATCTTGGAGAACACAGGGTATCTTTCTGCATGTACTTGCATTTAGCAGTTTACCAGTTAGGGAATTGTAACCCCCTCCCCCAATTCAGCCACTGAAGATTTTCTGATACTGCATGTTGTACACTGAAGAAAACCTTAACCGAAATGTTTAACATTCATTCTCAAAATGTGGAAAAGAGATCACAGACTTCCAATCCAAAACAAGTTTTTTTGGGGGGGGTGGAGGGGCAGAACCTCTTCAGGAGAGGCTAAACTTCTGTCAGATATCAACTCCTGTTTCCTGTGATCTATATCTAACCCCTCTTTCCCTTGTAAGGAGAACCGTTGCTGGAGCGTGTGGTCACTCATAATGCTTTATTAATGTAGGGAAGTGAGTTTTAGGGGTCACCGTAGTTTATTTGGCACGCCGCCCAGACCTTAGAAATGTATAACAAATACCCGTGAATTCCATGCCGGTGTGCGACTGCGGACTTGGCCTTGTAGATGGTACCCGATGGTGCCCAACACTGGCCAGGAAGAGTACACTCACTCGACACACTATCTTCACGGGTATTTTTTTTCTAAGGTCTTGGCGGTGTGCCAAATAAACTGCGGTGACCCCTAAAAACACGCTTCCCTACATTAATGTACTGGCAATCTTTGTGAGTTGCCTTGAATTACACGTAGCTTTGTGGTCTGCGGTAAAATTTAGGAGCGATGCTGACAGTGGCATTTCTTTTTTCCTCCTAGGAAGGTGTTTGCTTTTGATGTAGATCCTAAGCGGGTTTCCACACTCTCTGCAATGACGGCGGTGTCTGGTGCTACCAACTTGGAGATCGCCATCCAAGACTTTCTGAAGGTGAACCCCAGGGAGGAGAGATTCTCCAATGTCCGTTACATTCTGGTCGATCCCTCCTGTAGCGGCTCGGGAATCGTCAGTCGGCTGGACCACCTGACCAACGACGGCCAGTCGAATTCCACCGAGAGGCTGGAGGCATTGGCCGCGGTCCAAGTCAAGTTGCTGAGCCACGCACTGTCGTTCCCACATGTCAAGCGCGTGGCGTATTCGACTTGCTCAGTCCACAGAGCAGAGAATGAGGGCGTTGTCGCGGAAGCCCTGGCTGCAAACACAGATTTCGAACTGGACCACCTCCTTCCCACGTGGAAGAACAGAGGCATCAAAGTTGCAGACGATAGTGCCTCCAGGGAAACATCCCCCGAGATTGGTGGCCTAGATGTCAGTGCCTGCTTGCGCGCTGTCCCAAAAGAAGACCTCACAAACGGATTCTTTGTAGCTGTTCTGCAGCGGAAAGGCCAGTCAACCCAACGAGAGCAAGCTAGGGAGGATTCCAAGCCCGTCCGCAATAGCACATGCAGGAGTAGAAAGAACAGGAGTGGACAGATTCAAACCACTACCAATTGTCAACTCCCAAACAAGACTCTGACAAGTCAAGAATTAGGGAACCAGGTCGACCATGTAGATGACGCCACAAAGTGCAACAGCAGGAAAAGAAGGAAACGGAAAAGAATTCGAGCCAAAACAGAAGAACCACATACTACATGCAAAAAACTAACGGCGGAAGATTCAGTTCATGACTACAGTGTACATGTAGGTCCTAAGATTGACGAAAATCACAAAAAACAAACAAAGCGCAAGAAAAAGAGAAGGAAAATGAGTAGGATTGAAAAGTCAGAGTAAAATTACACAAATGTGTGAAAAAGAAGAAAAAAATTTGCTTGAAATGAAGTTTTTTTTAAGTGGACTCCCTAGGCACTTGTACATGTAACAAAATCCCATGTTTTTTACTTGTGAGCTCGAGAAAGCCCATGTTAGCATAAGCAAGAAAATATAACTTTAACTGTGAGAGTAACGTGGACGTAAACATTTTTAATGAGAAGGAGATCTGTCGGCAATGGGTTTTGACCAGGAGCATTTTGAATGAACGTCCAGTCATGTTGGCCATTCGCTCACCAGTGTAGGTACTTGTGTCAAATTTAATAACTGTGGGCTGTTGTTTGCGGTGTCCCTCCCAATCCACTAGGCAGTCTGCAGAAGGTTTTTGTAAGATTATGGCAGAGAGAGTTTAACCACAATACATGTATGTATTTACATGCTTTACACGAAGCCTCGACGCTCCTTGAATGTTACCGCCAAAATTTTATTACTGGTGATGTTGAAAACCCGACCTCCGACTTATCAGCAAAAATGTCAAGAAAAATTCCATCCACGATGAGACGAAGGTCTCGGGAAAACCAAAAACAGCCACCAAAACCCCCTTGATTAAAAAAAAGAGAGAGACTCAACATTTTTACGAAGCCAGACTGTTGGACAAGTGGAACACTGTAGCCTCACTGAATTGAAAGTGTTTCCATTGTGGTTAATTCTTTTTCAAAGGATTTGGAGCAAATAAAAGTAAACACAAGGAACTGCTATGCTTTCAAACATTTTGATATTTAATCAACTTCTTTGATGGGTATCAATTACCATGAAACATCGTACATAGAAATCCATTGCGAAGATGTATCACTAGCGATTCCCCTCAAATTGATCGTTTAAAATTACCTGAAGTAGTTCATATTATTAAGTTGTTATTTCTCATTAAAAATTTACATAATTCAAAGACAAGTTTGTACATTTACATACATATGCTAACAGACAAAAATACAATGTATTTACAAATGACAGAACGGAGTACAGACTTCTCTCACCACATCTTGGCAAGGAATAATGATTTAAAACTCATTAACCTATTATATATCGGGTTACAACAGTACGACACTGTTAAAACTGAACAATTGCGTGGTAAAAATTCCTGTCACTTTTATCTTGGCACTATGTTGGTCCAGCCTCCCCCTTTATCCCTGTTGAGGGGGTGACTTATGTACAGAAGCCACAAGATTAACAACTTCTTTTATTGCATCAGAACTTTGTATAGTTTTGCCAACCATTGGCAAACCATGGCTCATCGTGAGGACAGAGCCGGCAGAATAATTCAAAGTGTTTAAAAATCCCAGGCAAATACATATACTTAACATTTCTCGAAACTTAATGCCTCCCATTTTGACACTGATGGAGCAAACTGTAACGAGGCAAAATGTGTTGCCAATGAAGTGTGACATTTCTGCAAACTTTGGCTGCCCGTAACATATGGCTCACAGTTTATATACAACAGAAAGGTCTATATTCCAAATACTTTCACTTGACCCTTAACCTCCAATATTAGGAGAAGATTTGGTGCCGGGGGAAGAGCAGTTGGCACCAACTTTAAATGTTAGTAAGACCAGGCCCCCAAAAAATGGAAATTAGTTTATTCTTAACTTCAACACCCTTAGAATACAGCAGAAAGAATCACAGATGTCATTATTTTGGGGGTTAGCTCCAAGACCCATCCAATCAACATGCAAGCAAATTCAATAGCAACTCCCTCATCTAAAAGTAAGTCTGGCCTGGATTTCCACAGTTCCTTCCCCCAGGAAAATCCCAGCCCCGCCCATGAGCATTAGACCTAAAACATAGTGACGTCAAGCTTTCTTTCAATGTGAGCTTTCCTATGTGGACTCCATAGACCTCACTGCCAGAATAAAGAGCATATGTCAACAAAGTGAAGTCATTACGTTTTAGGTCTGTTGCTCATGGCCAGTGTTGACAGAAATTAATGAAAAATTTTTATTTCAGAAAATCTCCAACTTTTCACGATACTAAGTTCCACCATGAACGATTTTGACCGGATTGACAATTTGGCACTGGTTTTGATGATGGCCGACCACTTCTAGGGCTCCGAGTGTGGCAAGGAAAATCCATCAGACAACCAACACCAATGTCACAACAATACCATACAGTATCACCGACGGCAACCACGTCTTGAGGAACCCACCCAACCTGGGCACAAAAGATACAGAGAGCGTTTCCAGTAGAGACAAGCATTTACAATCATTTGGGGGGGGGGGAGTGGTGTTTTATTTGATGAATGGCATGATCTATTCCATGAAATGAAATTGTCAGATGTGACATTCCATCTACCTTGAAATTAATCTTAGGCCAAACAACAAATTTGTTGTTTCCGATTACACTGAAAAATAAATTAGGGTGGTTAGTTGGGTAAATTTTGTTTAGTCTACATTTTATAGCTGAAAAAATTAGGATCGGATGATGGTCTGTATTTTTTTTGGGGGGGGCGTGTATATTTGTAATAGGTACTAAGTCAGTGTCGGATTAATACATGTACACGTCAATATTACATATCAGCACTGTGATTGAGTAGTAAAGCAGCTGGTTGTTGAAATACAAACACACGAGCCGTCCACTTCATGCACAAAAATAAAAAATACAATAAACAGGATAATGTACACAAAATTAGGCTCGGGGCAAGGCACCACACTGTAAGTGTTTATATTTTATTGATTTGTCAAATAAAAAGATATAGGTTCTGTGTGATTTTCTAGGTTGGGTCCGGTAACCAGAAACACGGTCGTTGCTGTTTAGCCTTAATTCTATACCACGTATACTGACCAACATTCATTATTTGTATGGGACTGTTTCACATTTTTCACCACTAACAGGATTTACGGCTTCGTATAGAAATCCAGATTTGACGGGACCTAACCAAAGCAGAGGTGTGGCTAGGTTTCTCACCGTAGGGTTGATGGATGTTAAAGTGGGGAGGGGTCGCAAGTTCCTTGTATTTCTTTAACAATTTTCTTTGTTTTTTTAAATTTTGGGAGTGGGGGAACATGCTATCCCCCCCCAAGCCTCTCTTAGCTACACGGTCACCACCAACCAAACACACCCGCACTTGCTATTGGATCTTGTTAAGGTCTGTTGGATCTTGGTGGAAACTGATAAGTCATTAGAAATGGATTGACGGGCTCACCCGACGTATCGGCCATATATTAGCATGAGAAAGCACAGTTTGACCATGTTCCAACTCTGTCTCTTGTACTGCATCAGGTTCAGCGCCATGGCAACGTGGGAATGACAGTTGTCGCAACAAAGATTGTGCTGGAAAAAACAGAGACAAAAACCACTGTAACTCCATTCAACATTTTTCCATTTGTTTCCAAACCAAGATGCCCCTCCCCATTAAGTTTTTATCTATTCCAAGCTGCCCACCTTTATGAACTGGAAATCTACACGTACAAAACATAAAGGGCTTTTTGCCTTCACAAACGAAACTATTTTTTTGCTGAAATTTATCTTTTTCAAACCTACATGTAAGGTCTTGAGGGCTGGTGCATGATCCTAAAATCCTTTGGACTCGCACATCACCACTGCAACATACACAGCTTTAGTGCAGACACTAAGGCAGGCTTTACCAGCGACCAGTTTGCAAGCCACCTTTTCCTGTCTTTCTAAGTCCTAAATCTCAACCTACATGTACCTGCGCTCACTGTCGGTCGGCAAGTTGAAGTATGCTGGGTGCATCTGACTTATCCAGCATTCTTGTGTTAAAATGGCTCCTGTTTACGCTTTCAATCATGGGTCCTGATGTAAATGTACTACATTGTCCCTCCTGGACTCTGCTCAAGCTTGCTTCAACTCTGACTACACGACAGTGGTTACACTGTCAATTTCGGTTCTGCTACAACCTACCATTCTAGTTTTGTATTCCTCCGATGCCTCTGAGATGCTTATGTCCCAGGCGTTGGACTTAGCCTTGTTGTGGTCCAACATCCAGTATTTTGTTGGCTTGCCAAATCCCATGTCATCTTCCTACAATTGGAAAAGTCATGAAATCCATGTATGAATTACGTGTGCATAAGTTTGCATAATGTTCACCCTTGATTGAAATCTGCAACAAACTCTGCCTAACAATACACATTTGACATACATGTACATGCATTAGAGCAGATGGAAGAAATATTTGTATTCACATGCATACATAACATGTGTAAAGCACCCTGTACTAATATCTATTATTTAGTATTTTAGTACTTCACCTGTTAAGTATCTAGGTCACTTATTCTCATTCCTTTGACTGACATCTAGCCTTAAACGTAAGGCCGGTTCAAACTTCTGGCAAATGCAATTTAGCAAAGTACATATACATGTATATAAACTGATGACAAAATGTGTTCAACTTTTGCATATTGGGAGTGCAGATATTTTATTTGACATAACAATTTTTTAACGGGTACATGTACTTGGCCTGAAAAATGGAACCAGGTTTTTATATCAACGGGCTGGTACCTGGGCACAGTACCCGACATAGGCCTACAACTGTGAAGTGGCAAAAACCTGTGACAAACTAAACAATAATAATGCTTGGGTACAGAATTTAAGTACATTATTAACCCTCTCACTTCAGGCAATGTGTTGGAAAATAAGTTCCCGAATCCTTTTAAATCAGTCTGCCTCAAGGGACCTCAATAGCACGTTCTTTGCCCTTTCACGTAGGCTACAAGATGCATGGTCCCCCATTAAGAAACTGATTAGGTTCTACTGATCTCAATCCAGCAAAATCCCAAACAACCTTCTGGTTGATTTTAAAGGATCTGGGAAGGTTAGGTTAGAAAATTAGGATTAAGATGAGAAACAAAATCAATAATAATTTCTTATTGCTTTGGCAGAAGAATTGAAATACTGGTGGTCCTATGTTTACATGTAGCTCATTTCTTATCTTCTATAGTGTATTCCGGATTTTTTATTTCTCTTTTAAGTTATAACAATAATCTCAATGTATGTATCACTTTAATTTACACGTACATGTATTTTTGTAACTTTGATGGAGGTCTCCATTGGAAAGCAGTTTCATTTAAACTGGACTACCCTCGTTAAAAGATCACAAGAAATAAATAAAATTTCTGAGCTTACTGATACAAAATAGGGGCCTGCAAAGTCTCGGATGATCCCGGACGATGTAGCTATGCCCATGTGGCCTATGAATGGGAAAATCCATCTACAGGGTATAGAATAAACAAACAAAATCAAAATCAGATAAGCCAGCCATTTGAACACGCACAGTGGATCACTAAATGAGAGATTGTACAACTGTATTACTTTTTGGGGTACTTGGTCCTCATCTGGTTCCATGGTTGGAACATTGTTTGAAAAAGGGACAAAATAGTGGAGGCGCACATCACAACTTGGAGACTGTCCTTGTATGTACATGTATTTAGAGAAGTCCTTTTTGTTCAAGGACAAAATCAGCCCCCAGCCCAAGCCAAAATGTCCTTGGCTAAATAGGGACAAATTTTTTCCAAGTGGGCTTGGCTATCCGACCATTACCGTTGGGATCATCTTAATGCCTCATTGGATTCAGCTGCTGTGTGCTGCATTTACTTCTAGGATTACAAGCCAGAGTCTGCAATGGGACATGTATGTACATGTACATGTACGGTACGTGTCCAGGGTTGGGAAAAGACTGCATTAAAACAATATTTTTGAAGATCAATTCTTTATGATACATTTAATCTAGTGACATGGCACAAAGTTCAACTAAATATGAATGGAAAATATGAGAGACAAAATCGAAAATACATGTAGCATGCGGGTATTTTGACCTAAGCCCACTTGGGAGCAATGTCCCCTTTTAAGAAGACATTCTCTCTTTCAAGGGACTAGTTTTGTCTCCAAATAAAGGGACTTATCCAAATAGAAGGAGAGTCCCTGAGTTGTGCCTACATATTGCTGATCCAGGAATCACATTTTGTCTTGATTTTTTTGTTTCAACGTAAGACCAGTAGCATTAATGGAAAGAGTTCCATACACGGACTGTCACTTAACACCTTGTGCAAAAACCTTGTGTTGTGAGACTGGTCTGAAAAATTTTAAGTAAGCCCTATTTTCTAAGTGAAAGCTTTAATATATTCCCTGCTGACTTAGCATGTAGACTTAATGTTAGGACATGCTATCGCTTACATATGGCTGAATACCATTGCAGGAAAAAGTAGTGATGTACCGTATGTCATGTACATACGTATGTACATGTACAGTGTATTTGGAACTCTATCCACACAATCAGCAGATCGGTGACTTTGGAACTTATGATTTCACGTGTGACATAGACATCATAGTGAGATCAGCAAGTTTTTTTTTTATTTTTTTATATCAAGCCACCTGTGACCTAGGCCTGTAGAAGTAGGCCTATCCAGTCCGTGACTTCATCACAAAGCCGTTGAAGGCAGATACACTACGATTTGCAGGCTCCCATTATTAGATGATCACTGAAGTTGCGTGTTGATTCCCGGTTCCACGGTTCCATGTAAACGGCGATCAATTGCATGTGCCTCTATGTGCAGTAGGCCTGCATGATGTGGTTTAAACTGAAGTGATGTCACACTTACGAACAGGATAATGTTTGTACTAAAAATTAATGCAAGTGCAGGGAATGTGACTAGCCTACATCTGTGACATCAGATCAATGAAATAACTGTATAAGCCTAGCTAGCCTACAGCCTATGCCTACTGTAACTGCGCAGTAGCTCACCCCCCCTCCCCGCGAATCTTGGGAATTCCCCCTCCCACTCCCACGGTCCAGCCCCAGACCCCAGCTTCCATGGATGTCTTCTGCGGCACGTCCAGTCATACATGCTCATGCCAAGAGGCCTACCGGTTCAACATGGTTGGTAAGTACAAGGTTAGAACTCACGTTAAAAACGGAATAGGCGTCCACACGATGCAGTAGGGATACCTTGATCGTTTGTGATCGATTGGTTGAGGATCGTACACACTGACTTTGATGTCGTGGTGCATATCGGTGTTGTTTGTGTCAGAAGGAGGAGCAAATTTCACGTCTTGATGCTGCGGATCCATCAGTCGCTCAGTTGACATCCTTCAACTTCTAGTTCATATTTTCATCGTTGGTACTCTGCATATTTTCAGTGGCCTTAAAGATTATGCGATTACCAGGGGAAACGTAAGACCGGTTTATTTCAGCGACGTGGCTGTAGCCTCTTGGCTAGTGGCTTCCATAAGCATACGTGTTATTTCCAGCCGCAGCCACACGGACTGGACAGTAGAAATAACCAGCTAGAACTTTCGGGGGCAGCAGCTCGCAGACAGGCCTCATTAGAAATTATGTTTTTGTAACTTATCGGGATAAGTTCAACATAGCAGTTAATTACATTAATCACAGTCACTGTCGCAGGTATGCTGGTAACTCATAGTCATAGCTGACAGTGAAAGAGACGACATTGCACTAATGGCGAGCACAGATACACCGCCGGACGACCAAGCCAAGGTTGGTAGTCTTTTCCTTCATAAACACACGGCCGGCCATGATCATACATGTACACTGTACGTAATTATCTCATGATAATGGCCCGGCGTCCATGTAAATTATGTAGGCCTAGGCCCCGAGTAGTAGTACTACTACTACTAGTAGTACTAGTACTTAGCCCCACTACCACTGTGTGGCACAGATTCTCATTCCCGCTCCATCCTTAGCCACACATCCGTATACGCAATTTCATGTCGGCGTAGGCCTACTGAAAATTTTTGGCGCACCTAGGCCTACTTTAGTACTTATCTTGTGGGCACAATCTCTTTTGCACACAGAGATGATCCGTAGCCTCTCCGCTTTCTTAGCGCCATTTATTGAATGATTTCACTAATGTTGTTCTGGTATTTTCCAGTCTTTTTGCCTTCACCCATTCAATCTCACGGACTCGCTCTCACAGTCGTCATCTTTAAAATAAGGTCGTTGAACATTACGTGACTTGACCCCTCATCGTCTCGACGGCTGTTCCATGTCAAGACATCCATATGTAAACTGCTGCCAAAGTTTTGGAAGAGCCCATTGGCACATGCAGTATCTTATCGCTCAGTCCGTGTATTAGATATGTCTTGACATGGAACAGCTGTCGAAACGATGAGGGGTCAAGTGACGTAATGTGCAACAACCTTATTTAAAGATGGTGACTGTGAGAGCGAGTCCGTGAGATTGAATGGGTGAAGGCAAAAAGACTGGAAAATACCAGAACAACGCAAGTGAAATCATTCAATAAATGGCGCTAAGAAAGCGGAGAGGCTAAGTATCATCTCTGTGTGCTAAGAGAAATTGCGCCCACGAGATAAGTAGGTTCGGCAAAAATTTTCAGTACGCCGACACGAAATAGCGTATACGGATGTGTGGCTAAGGATGTAGCGGGAATGAGAATCTGTGCCACACTCGTGGGGCTATAGTACAGCAGGTTACGACAGACTGCAGGGCTCCCGAGGCTGTGTACGGCCTAGGCCTACTGCATTGCTACATGTAGCTCAGCTCAGTCATGTCGGTCTCAACTCAAGCTTTTTGATTTGTTGAGCGGGGATGGGTAGAAAAAGGCTGTTGATTATTATGTTCCTGCAAACATTAATTAATCTGTTTCCATTATATTTAATTTATTCCGCATCCATCCTCTCAGTGCTGCATACAGATTTAGGGTAAACATGATAAATAGATTTCCAAACGTGACAAACATCAGATTTTAATCTCACCGGAATAAAAAAGGTCTGGGAATCCCTCTCAAGAACACCAGCTTTTGTCATAAACCATGCTTGGATTAAGATCATGAATATTACTGAATTAGTATTTGGCCAATCAGAAACATGACTTGTAGCTCATTCATTCCGCATTAACCAATCTCGTTCATTTTGGTCCTAGAGTGACTGATGCCCTTTAAAAAAAGACAGTTACTGTACATGTAAGGGTGATTTGTTCTCCTTACAAACATTTGAAAATTCATTTGTTATAGATTTGAAATGTTTCTTGCATTTCATCTGTGAGGTGATGAGCAGATACTGAAACATTCTGAAGGAAACTGAAAATTGATTTCTGACTGGTTCACTTTGTTATTCAAGCGTCATAATGGACTGCGAACCTGGAAAAGGTTAATTGATTACTCCTGTCCACTTCTTCACTGTAGACTTACTGGCAACGTTTGTACGCGGTCATGACTACACCATGTTTTTTATTTGGAACCCATTTTCCTTTGTCTATATATGTACTGTATGTAGACGACAACTGTTCAACAACCAGAAACGTCGGTTGCTGTCTCCAGTGACACCAGCAGTGCTGTGCCAAGGGAAAACATGGTAAGTTAATACACTGACTTCATCTCTTGTATTGTAATTGTACGAGGACCCAGGGAATTGTCTTACGTTCTTGCAGAACGTATTCTTTTTAGGTGAGTTTTGATTTCTTATATTGGGTAAGGAAGGTGGTGTTAAGCGAGTGGTGTTGACATAAATCGCTGAATGGCTAGGAACTTGAGTCAGACACAACTGACAGGTTTGTTTTTAGATGACTTTGATAGAAATGACTTGTGAAGTGACTTGGCTTAGAAAATAAAAAGGGTTGTAACTTGGAGAAAAATAGCTTTTGACTTGACTTTACATGAAGAAAAATTATCTGACCATAAAAAAATATGTTTAGAACAATTTGTACATGACTTGTGACCTGAAAGGGCTTATTCCTATGTACTTGGCATTGACAAAAAAGGAGAAAAATAAACGATAAATACACTGAAAGCAAGTGAAGTAAGATAGTTGCGCGTATCTCTGCAGTTTAAAAACTATTGTAAAACTTCTCAAAAAAACTCTGCTATGTGTAAAAAATGCCTCACTGGGGATTTTTTTTTCATCAATTATGTGTACATGTGTATGTGTTTAAAACTCCTTTTTCTGCTCCAGATTTCAACTGCTGTGCGGTTTCTGCAGAACCCTCAAGTCCGCTCGAGTCCCCTTGCACAGAAAAAGGCCTTCTTGGAGAAGAAAGGTGTGTAATTACCCCCCCCCATCGCTACAGTTGCCATTCTAATCCTGTTGATCTGAGCAGCAAGTTGGACAGCATTTCATATTCCATTTGTTGCAGTCTGTGGGCTTTACCATTTGGCAGTGCTAGATGTTGCTTAGATTTTGTTGGAGTTAACAGGTGATACATGTACGTGTTGTTAGAGTTTGTTAGATTCAGCAATTTTCAGATAGTTACATGTAGATTCTGTTTGGTTCAGCAGGCTTCAATTGATTTGTAAGATTCCACTGGATTCAGCTGGTTTCACACTGTGGTATGGAAACATTGGACTTGAAAGACATTTTTTTACTGTTGGAATATCTAGGATTAAGAGGGCTTTCCATTTTCTCATCGTTGGATTTCAATAGATTCAGCAAGCTTTGGTTTGTGAAATGATATGTGAGCCACCCTGGGTCGATGTGTTGTTAGATTGTGTGAGATACTGTAGGCACTGATTTTGCTAGTTGGAGCAGACTTTGTTCTGGCACACGTAGATTCAGCAAGCAGCACACTTTGGATTCAGCAGACTGACACTTTTGTTGAATTCTACATTTTCAATTCAGTCGGCTTGACAGTGTTGGATTCTGTTAGATTTTGCTAGCTCCAGGATGTTAGATTCTGTCCCTCTTATCACCTCACTGCCTCCAGATACAATATACGCAGCTTCAGCATTGGAACTTCTGCATTCTCCTGACAACGGACAGAGCACAATGTCCGAATCGTTGAGTACCGTCCGGTTCTTTTCAGAACCAGACATACTCATAAAAGAGATATCCTTGCATGGTGCTACAGCGAACCGCCACAACTAACTTACTACCTTCACAATAAGAAGCTTCAAAGCAAATGTTCTGTTCTGTTAGATTCAGTGGGCAGTGCTCTCGTTAGATTCTGTTGGACTGAGCTGACTAAAGCTGTTGTCGGATTCTGTTACATTTAGGTTCAGCAGGCTTCACAGTGTCTGCTGCAGTTAGAGTTAGCAGACTTCATGATATTGGATTCTGTTTGATTAAGCAGACTTCAGAGGTCAGTGAGCTGTGTACGCATTTTACATGTACTTGTGTGTTCTGGATAAAAGTTCAATGAGAACAAATATACGCAAGCTTTTCAGAACTTAACAGTCACTCTTGGAATGCAGGGCTGACTGCTGAGGAGATAGAGATGGCCATTGATCGCTCGGGGACCAGGCAAGATGTGGTAACCGCTGTGGCTCCTGCGCCGGCACCCTCAAACCAGGCCGCGGTCCCCCCACAGGCAGCTCAAATGCAGCAGCAGCAGATGGGTAAGCATGCTCTGTTGAGAGTTAAACCGTGTCCAGTTTTCTTGGCTGCGGCTGGCACCAGCACATGTGTCTGTAAGGAGTAGCCACAGCAGCTAGCCAGTGGCTTCCAGGTACATGCATAATGGTGGGAACTCATGGAATAAATCGTAACAAGGAATGAGCTGTAATGTGAGCTATAGATATTAAATTAGTGAAACCCTAACTCTGCATTCCTCACACAAGAAAGTTTTGCCGACTCATGAGTACAGAAATTTGGAATTTGTGGGCGCGTTTCTAACCTAGTGAAATAAGATGGAACCGATTCCATGTATTTAAAATGCAACGGAAACATTCTCTGTCATTTCACGCAAAGAAAACAGGAGATAGGCACCTGTACACCTGTTCTGACTGTTGATAATTGACTGTAACAGTCCGATCTGGTTACATAACAGCACATACATACGAATGTACATTGCACTTTTTGGGTTCTACACCTGCAGTGTCCTGTGTTATACTGGTCATTTAACATTTGTTGACCAGTGTGATATGAAACGTCACTTTTTTCCACCCGAGGAATGCATGGCAACAGAATCGAGGGTGCCATGCCTCCTTGTGCGGTGATAAAAAACGTTCCACGTACAACAGTTGTTTACTATCTGCACAGGTGGAAGTTGTGATTTTGTCTATGCGAAATACAGTAATTGTGAGCTTTTCGTCAGACATGTCAGATATTAGAAGTTGTACAATTGCTTTGATTATGTGACTTTCGTCTGGCAAGTTTGGGGTAGTGAATTTACAGTGTCTTTTCAAGCTTTGATGATATTAAAAATACTGACTTTATTACGGTAGCCCCAAATTTCTTAGGGATGGAAGGCTCTCATTATCATCATCCCTACACATTGGGCCAAAAACATTTAACCCCTTCACGGCGAGGTTATTTTGACCGTGACTGCTGGGCTGCGGTATGCCCTGAATGGAGGGCTTTTTCCAGCAACAGGCCCCATTGAACCAGCAGCTGCATGGTGAATAGACTGTATGTGTGGTGTGCACTAATCCTCACACAATGGTGCGGTAGGAGCAGTCCTCCGTAGCGAAGGGGTTAAAACAAATCTTAGCTCCCTGGGGAGTATACTAGCCTGATGCTGCCATTTTTAGGCAAAACGGCTAAACATAATCATCATATTTGCCTTCACTGCTACCCATTTGTACCCCTGGGTGGAGAGAGGCAAGCAGGAGTACACTGAAGTGACATACCTAAGGTCACATTGTGTAATCACCAGCGGGATTTGAACCCCGGACGTTATGCTTGCAAGTCACAAACATCGACCACTGGGCCTCATGTCTTTAAGCCTAACAGAAGTAAAAAACATTTAGTTCACTTGAAGTATTTCAAAATAACAAACACATTAATAATTATTTCAAAAACAACATAAATTCAGTGTTTACCCTATTAATCTTGACCCCAAAATGAATAAAAATATCCTGCATTTCCCCGCCCACAAAAAAAACCCTTTTGGCTGCTACATGTAGCTAGGACTGTGTCTTTTAATTTCTACCTTGAACCGGGACATTGTTTGCCTGTGGGCCAAGCTGCATCGGACACGTGGTCCATTGCAAGCATGCGATACTGCATGTACTGTGTAATGCAATGTACATGTACACTGTTCATGTACATGTAGGTGTTCTGCCGATGATGTCACCAAATCAGCCTGGGAGTGCGAATGGCCAAAAGGGGATTTTTTTGTGGGCGGGGAAACGCAGGATCTTTTTATTCTTTTAAGGGTCACAATTAATGGGGTACACATTAAATTTATGTTTTTGAAATGGTTACGTATTTATTGGCATTTTGTTATTTTCACATGAACTAAATGTTTTCTTTTTCTGTTAACCTTTAATAAGCTACTTGTACACGGATCAGTCTTTCAAAGGGGGCATTCTCTTTTTAATCAAATTTTCAGCCAAGAAAATCAAGTGGCCGTTTGGACATGATACTGCTATCTTTTGACTAATTGCTTGGCATTCCCTACATATGCATTGTATCACAAGTGTTTAACAGCTTGATATTTTATTTTTCTGTTTTTTTCCCTAACCAGTTCCCTATGGGCAGCCAGCACCTCCCAGACTGACGAGTTGGAGGGACTACACGGCCCTTGCCATCATCATAGGGGGAGTCAGCTACGGTGTCTACTGGCTCATTCAGGTGGGCGTTACTGGCTCTCTGCTAGTACTGACCTGGGACTCAGGAATTCTTTACAGACTTGCAGGGGGGGATGTGTTAGGTAACAATAGTCTACAGTGTGTATAAGGATTGGACAGGTAAGGGGGGTACCCCTCCATCCCATATCTTGCCTGGTATAACTTAATCAGTTACGTTTTAGCAATGCGCAAGTTCTGGACAGCTTCGCTTGAATGTCCCTGGTTGAACTTTTGGTATTCTGTAGAGTTGTCATTGGCCCTCACATTTTGCTGTTTGGTTGCAACTCTTGCTGCCTACTGGTACATCGTCAGTGACATCTAGTATTGTTAGTTGTTTTCATGTGAAGGATTCCCTCTGTGCTGATGAAGTGTATTGGCTATCCGCTCCGAGTGGAACAAAAGAGAGCATGTTTTTTTGGGTACTCACCGCATAGGCGCGCGTTTATAATGGAGATCAGTGGCCCGTTTGACGCGGAGCATGATGAGTACGCATAACGAATTTATTCCTGAATGTATGGTCTTTGTGTACACACAGAGCGCGTGCAAGAACCCACTTGGAAAACTTACGACCATCTGTCTTTCTTTTGCCGCTTGGGGGGTGCACTTCAACTCGGGGGCGGATTGAAAACCAGCAGTTTGGCCATGCCCCAAAGCCAGGGTCCAAATGGTCAAAACTAGATTGTCCAATAATCCCTGTTCAAGTGATGGTCTTCCAACCGCAGTCACATGTACAATGTAACTACAGTTATAGCGTGAACTCTCCCAAGGTTGTTTTTAGAGTCCATTTCGGCGAGCTCCATTCGTGCTCTTCATGTATCACTCCCACAGTGTCAATGACTCAGACATGTTAGAGCAAAAAGCACAACATAACGACGGTTACCGGGGCTGTACTGTAACAGTATATTTTTAGTGCCAGATGAGACAGAAAGTTTTTCCCAAGGAGTATGGGTGAGATGTTGCAGTCGACACACGTACTGAGATCAGAGGCCTCATCAAGTGAAGCGAAATTAGCAGTAGCGCTTATCATCTTGACTGATTTTCGAGGCCATGTGACAAAATGTTTGTCAGACCGATACTCGGATAAAAAATATATTGCAAGGAAATCAGGGATTGGTGTTGTAAACAGTGCTCTTGTTAGGGTGTTAGTCCATTTTGTCATCCCAGCCGTTGACCCTTGGGTCCGTTATTTGGTTAATTGCTATCTTGGATTGTTTCATCCAATTGACTGTGGTAACAGAAGTTCCTGATGCCTTTCCTGCGGTCTCGCAAGGAGGACCAGGAGCGACTGCAGAAGTTGGAGGCCTCCGTCCAGGAACTCAATAAAAGCGTCCTGCTGACAGGTAGGTAGATCTTGACCTCCCTCTGGCAAGGGGCTGGTATCTAGACTTTGTCCATATGAGACGGCTATGGCTCAGAATAGATTGAGGCTAGTACGGAAGTCACTTGATAGTGGCTATACTGGCTTCCTTAGCATAGACCTTACAGAAAAACCATTGTCGGTGCAAAAGTCCTAACGATGCTTTGGACTTCGATGTTCTGTGGTGCAATCTATTACAATTTGTATAAAGATGATGAACAGAGCTATTGACAAATGAAAGAGCCACCGACATAGGGTTGGATAACTCAGTTGGTAGAGCATTGGTACGGTGTTCCAGAGGTCGCAGGTTCAAATCCCGCTCTAGTCAATTTCGTGTTCATCTTTGTAATCATTTGTAAGCACCTAGTCAGTTTCCCTATATGCATGTAGTTTCTTTCATATCACAATTTTTGTCAGCTCTGCCTAATCATCGGAACATTTTTGAACACTGTTTTCAAGTTTGGAGGGATTTAATCAGTTAATGTTATTAGCGGTGGAATCAAATGTAAGCCTGTGATATTTATTCAGCCACAAAAGGGGGGAGGTTTTAAGTGAAATGATATCCCATCTTCAACTGATCAGTGCTCATAATTTGCCGCAAAAGCTTGGACAATGTTGAATATTAAATATGCAACATTGTCCATTTTTCACTTTTCAATATATTCGCAACTCCAAAATAAATGGCAAATAGTTGCCATGCAAAAGAGAGAATTATAAAGCTGCAAAGAAAGCGTGCATTAAACGTTGATGCAAGAAACAACGCGAGGACCCTTGAACCCTAAAAGAGCAGGGTAGAGTTGGGCAGAATACCCCTTAGACATTTATGCCCGCCACCCTCCCATTTTGCCCTCTCCACAGTGGAGAAACTGGACACAGCTGTGACGTCCATCCAGGGCCTACTGGAACAGCAGCAGACTAAACTGGACAGCCTAACCACCAGCGTAATGACCAGCAGAGCCATTACTGGCAGCTCGAACGACAACAGCAACGAGATCGCCGACGTGAAGGCCGAAATAACATCCTTGAAGGGACTACTACTCAACAGGTGGGCAGCTGCCTTTATCCTTTCGTCATTTTTAGTTTTTACAGGACTGCTGACAGTGGTTGTCCCGTTTTTGGGTTTGCATATTTGTTATCCGTCCGGCCAGTTCTGAAAAGCAAGCCAAAACATCAATATTGGCAACTGCATATTCATTATGGACTTGGTTTTCAAGCCCAGCCTTGATTCTGTGGATTTCTGCAGAAGATTCGTCTTGGGGTTTTCCTCTCGTCTTCATTAAAACTTGACGTATCTGCATCGTATTATTTGTCGGAATTTTCAAGGTTATGGTTTGTGTGCTACTATTCCGTGGGTACTTTTGAGGAATCCTTGCTTTTGTTAAAGTGATAATGAAGACAAAACCAAAAGGTTCATTGTATCAACCAGTGTGACCTTGGACAGTTGTTGATACAATGAATCTTTTGTTTTGTAGCCATAAACGATGGCTACATGCACTATTTGGCATGCACAAGGGTTTATTCACTAGGAACACAGGGCAAGGGTTCTCCTCGCTTTTTCTGTTTTCTCCAAATGACACAATCTACATTCCGAATTCGCATCTTGGAATGAACAGAAAACAGCCCTTTTAAGCTTGTTATAGTTGAGCTCTGGAGACAAATGACACTGCATTCGATTTGGGTGCTTCCATATTTATTTGAAGAGATAAATCAGAGAAAACATGTTTTCCTAAAAGGTGCTCTTTAACCCCTTCATGGCGAGATTATTTTGACCGCAACTGCTGGACTGTGGTATGCCCTGAATGGAGGGCTTTGTCCAGCAGCAGGCCCCATTGAACCAGCAGCTGCATAGTAAATAGACTGTACGTGTGGTATGCACTAATCCTCACACAACGGTGCGGTAGTAGCAGTCCTCTGTAGCGAAGGGGTTAATGTTAGCATGCTGGCATAATGTTTGGCACAAATGACCAAGTAGGCCTTGTTGAGAAATGACATTTGATCGAACTTGGGCATTGATTCTGACCCCTGCCTCTTATAGTTTCCGGTTCATGCCTTTTCTCCGCAATCTAACAGGCATCAGTTCCCAGCTACCCCTCAACCGGCTCCCATCCCAGCCTGGCAGCGGGTCAGCCCCAACTCGGACTCCACCCTGACGAAACCCCAGGAGACCCAGCCCCCTGCGCAGACCGCTGACCAAGAGACGGCAGGGACGAAAACAGCCGTCACCGCCGACAGCCAGAATGCCGCGGAAGTGGGGGTGACCAACGGCGACCTTGGTGACTTCAGTCACAGCGAGGTCTTGACTAATGGCGATAAAAGCCTCAATTTGAATATTCATGAAAGTGGGATAGCCAGGAAGGATGACTCCTTGGGTCCAATAGTCAATCACATGACTTCATCTCAGGCAACTTAAATACCTCTGTTGACCTTTTATCCAACCACCTGCAACTTGATAGAGACTCAAGAAATGAAAAGTACAATAGAAGGATCCCAATCCGACGCTTTTAATGTCGACCTGTGCACTTCCGCGTTTAAAAACGAGGCTGTATGTGTCAGCTTCAATTCTTAATACGATCAGACGATTGAAAGTAGGGAGTCAAGACACAAAATACATAAAGGTATGTTAAATTCAGACTTTTCAGGCTGCAAATTTTTGTGGAATAGTCTTTCAGGATGACTCGACACGTGAAATTGAAAGAAAAAATAATAGCAATTTACCGTGAACAAACATACCTGCGATGGCCGTGTATCTTGTTCAGTGGGCGTGGTTTAAACTGAAGTGGTATCCCACTTACGAAACGGATACTGCATGTACTGTGTCGACTCTGCGGGCGCGTGCGACGAAGTTCAACACAGAGAGCCTCGGTTTCGATGCAGATATGCACAGATAGCACTAATGTGAAAATCCATCTATTGCATACATCAAGGAGAAATGCTCAGAAGAACACCTGTCTCTTCTGATGAGATGTCTCTGAAATTTGCCTAAGAGTGTTCAAAAACTCTTTTTTTTTTACCATATGCCAGAAATGAGCTACTTTGGTATTTAAAAAGGCAAGGCCATTCAAGAACAGAAGCAAGCCTGAACATGTTCAGCGCGTAAGAGTCAGTGTATGACCGTGCTGATTGGTCTGAGCCCGCGTATGCATGTTGCTGTTCTCAATTTACCTTTGGCTGTCGGACATGTTTTTCTTTTGGGCATGTATTGTTAGAATATCAAAGGGGCTCACTGCTCACTTCCAACACTCAACTGATTCTCTTTTTGTCTTCTGTCATGGAATAGAATTGGTATTTTTTCGGACATCTCCTTTAACACAGGGGATGAGTTTCTCATCCATGATTGAACATGACGTACCATCCGCAGGACATTCGTATGTGAACATGAACAGGGCCAGATTAAGTATTCCGTTGAGTCAAGGTACCAGACAGTGAACGTGATACATATTGTGGAGTGTGTTCATGCACCAGTCCAGTGGGCTGACTCTACACATCTTCGGGACTCCTCCTCACTAACCATCGCTGTTGATTGTAACTCTCACATTGAGTTGGTGAAAAAAATTTCCAAGAATAATGTGAAAGCCACATTAGTTCTAATGCATGGGCATGGGGGGGTGGCAAGTTTCTGTCGCTACCTAAAAAATGACCAAAAAAAAGAAATATTGAAAACAGAGATGAAAAGAGCTGAAAAGCTGAAAATTGATTTACAGACAGAGCAGACCTGGCACAGGTATGTATTGTCAATTCTAACCAATTAAACTATCTGTGAATATTTGCCAATTGGGGAAAGTAATTGACAACAGCTGGAATCCTGCATGTATTATTAAAAAAAGTGCTTATTTCACATTCATTGCATTTAATGTAGTTGGGGAACATTAAGTTTAATTTCATACTCGGTAAAAATGCAGTTTTGTGGAGAATAATCAAAACTGCTTGTATCAATTTTGACAAGAAATATATCATGTATTAAAATAGAAACAATTGAATAAAGTTTGGTTTGATTTAGCATTTTTGTGTCTTACTTTTGCCAATGACGCAAATAATTGAAAAGGAAACTATGAAACTCATCATGTAGATTTTTTGAGTTCACTTGAAAAGTTTTTACTTTTTGAATCATGTCATTTAAGTTGAAATTGTATTATATTTGTAAATTTTTTTCGTGATATTGAGGAAAAACGATTTACCAAAATTGTTAATAAATTGTTCTGTCAAATTTGAAGTAATGCAGTGTCGAATCTTTTTGTCACTCGATATTAAGTTGCATTATCCACCTTTTACAACTACATGTATCCAGTATTTTAATGCGTCCTATTATGGAAGCCGCTAGTATAGTGGCATTATAAATTTCCTCATGGACGTGCACTACATGCAATTGTTTCAAGTCGTAGACGGAGTTTAGACAGGACCCTGAAACTTTTTTGCCAACGGCATAATGCGTTATGTCTGTGGAGTGTAGACTTTGCCCACTAGATAGACGGGCATGTACTTGAGCAGGTAAAATAACAGAATGCGTTAATTCACTGCATGCTATTTACTATTTGTCTAGAGCGCCCTCTGTAGATTGATATTTTCCACATTTGATGATCATGTCAGACACCCAGGCGTTTTATGTTTAGTCAAGAACATTTTGGTTACCTTCGTCTCCAGCCCGACTACTGATGGCGCCATCTACAAAACAGACACTGAGTAAATCACCGGCTCGAAGTACATGTACATGTAAGTCGATACCACGGGTTACCACAAAATCACTGAAAAATGACTGTTTCGAGAATCAAAGTCAGTGACATCATTGACAGTGATTAAGAAAGAAAACGGTTGCCAGTTCATCATGATCATGGAATAAGCTGTGTGAGTTTTTCTTTTATTTCTCGTTGTGGGCCCATTCAATGTGCTGAGCTGAGGGATCATCTTGATAATGATCTGCAGACCGTCAATTATTTTGGGAAAATAATGGCCTGAAAAATTGTGTTTAGCCTATCATCATCAGATCATATGGAAAGACCTCAGAATTTTCACTGCTAGGCCTAAACGTCTTGTGAGGGCATTGATTTGTACTGGTTTTTTGAAGGCTAATAGCTATAACTTACATGTGACGTCCAATGGAATCCTTTTCCAACCAACATGACCAACAAACATGGCAAAATCATGAACATGATGAAAGTGGAGTCAAGGATGCTGCAGCCTTTCTACACCACTCACGTGACTTAGGCCTATGATTTTCAGTATTTTGAAATGTTCAACACGTTGCTTTGACAATGTTTTTCTGATGTTTAACGTCAGGATTACCCAGACATTGCCGTGATGCTGACATTCAAGTTATGATGGTGGTCAGGTGGATTTGCAGGCAGCATGTTGATTTTTGCATGTTTGTTGATTGGATTGGAGTGGGGAGTGCACATGGTCAGTGATGGTGGAACAGAAGGTATGTACATGTACGTACCAACCCAGCAATTCGGCAGATACCGATGAAAGCAATAACATGACCTAAAAAGTCAAATTTAGCAGGGAAAATAGTGAGGTATTCACTTAAAAATTACTTACTTTTGGCTAGAATTTTTCCGACTAGTCTCACTGGGTTTGTTCACAGGGTGTCAAGCGGGGTCCATACATGTACATGTATGGAGATCTTACATGTACATGTACCTCCAAAACTTATCATTCAAATGATTGTGATTCATGAAGGAATTCTCCATTCTCCCCCTCACTTCCTAAAGTAGAAATATCCTCCACGATCCCCTCCCCCTGAGTACGCCATTGCACAGCATGGAACGCAAAGTGTCTACATTGTAACTTGATGGAGGAACTTACAGTACATGTGCATGTACACTGCACCTGTATACAAGATGCATGCACAGGTTACAAAGCACTGAGGTGTTTTGTTGTGAACCTGTCACACATTTTTGAAAAGTTCATTGTAAGAAAAGTTCCGTGTTCATGCTCCATGATTACATCATGTACTGGTACCTTTACTGTACAAGTTTCCAGAACTGTAGGAGTTTTACAGTTGTTGAAGTAGGCCATGACAGTCGTTGGACCATGGCAGAGAAAGTGTTCAGTATTTTCAGGGAATGCATTAATTCTCTTAAGTGCATGTTGTCGTTTCTTTGTCAGATTACACTTTGTACATTTCGTTTTCAAGTACATGTAATACCATATTCGTGCATTAACCCTAACCCTCCACAATCCTCCAAAATCCTTCGAGTGGTTTTGGGGGATTTTGGAGGATTGAGGGTGAATGGCAAAAGTGCATGGCTGATTGCGAAGGACGCCATGAGTGAAGTTCGTGGGTTAGACCTTGTGTTGTTTTTGCTCAGTCATGCATAAGTCCAGCCTGATATTTCTTTTGAATCAACGGCACTGCTCAAGAGTGCCATTCGCACTGCCTCAACATTATGACAGGAATTGCGGGAGGATTTTAAAGGATTGAGGCAGTAGGCACACCTCTAAGTAACATTTTCAAGAAACTTTGGAGGATTTCTGAGGATTGAGGGAGAATCCAATTTTTTCACCTCCCAAATTGGAGGATTCTGGAGGATTGAGGAGGGTCCCCAGCAAAAAGGGCCTAGGGGGTTAGGATTAAGGGAGATCGGTGATTATTGAATACTCTTTCTGTGTATGGGAATTTTAATGGCTCAGTTAATTTACCATGTGTTTACATGTACAGTATCTAAATTGCCTTTCAGCGGCCGTCAATGAATGCGAGTGATGAATGAACTTCAGCAAACAGCATCCCATCCCAGAGGAGTCTGTCGAAGGAATTCTTCAATCCATGGTACAATGAACCCCGGGCCTCTTTGGAAACAGCAGCATCCAAAGTCCAGTCGACGACTGTTGTTCAAGGAAAACATGTCTCCCAGATCAAAAACTTTGGGAAAAGTTGGCATTGGTAGGGCCGACCGTTCAAAGGAGCCTTCGCGAAACAAGTTGCCCCAGGTACAGGAAAATGTGTCGTTACAGCCCACTGGAAACCTGACTGGAAACCAAAAACTTGTTGTTTCACACACTTCCAAAGAAAACAACCTCAGTGCTTCAAGGGTAAGGAATTTACCCATGAAGGGACTCCGAACACATCTTAGTGAAGTGGATTTTGCCAAGCAGATTAAACACAGGGCGGCAACCATGAAAGACACTGTTAAGAGAAGTGTCCAGAATAATGTTACATGCCCGAGTGGCAACCTTTTGGCCAAGAAATCCCCTGCGAAAGAAATCATCATTTCTTTGAAAGGATTAGGGAACATTTCAGATATTGAAATGGATCACAGACCCGTTCCAGTAGACAGTCATTTGATCTCAAACAATTACAGATCGGAACGTAAAGTTCAGGATAACATGGCTTATGACAGGACTTTCACAGACTGCCGTGAAGATGAAGTCACGCTAGTTGGTATGACAGATAAGCTGTTGGCAGTAGTGCCAGCACTGGCTGGAACTGGTTGGAACTGCTTTGAAGCAGATCAGTCCGGTTTGATGAACAGGCAGCGGGGTGAGAATTCCAGGCTGTCGAAGAACTTCCGTCTGACGGTCCAAGACAATGTCCTTTGTAAACTCTCCGTTCAGAATGGTGAGGGGTCTGGTTCTGAGCCCTCAAATTCGATTTTGACCACAAAACTCGAAGAAAATGAGGAATCCAGCGGGATGGAACCAGCAGGATCTGATTCTGACCAGGTCTCTCTAGCTGAGGAAAGCCACACCATAGAAGCAGACAACACTGCAGAAGCTGGTAGCCAGGACTCTGGTAGCCAGGACTCTGATGAACAGGTAAATGTACAGTATTTAACACATTAATTCATTATTTTGAGGGGTCAACTGGGGTAAAAATGCCCAATGTTGAAGTGTTCCCTCAATAAATGTAACTCAGCACTTAGGAAATTTATGTTGAGGCTGTGCAATGTGCGCTTGTACATGGTGCCTTGTGGGGTACCCGAACAATGGAAGGTACCCCACAAGGCCAGTTTTGATCTTTGTGGGGTACTAAAGTGGTACCCCACAAGAATTTCACAAAATAGATATTTCAAATTTACTCAAAAAGGAGGAATTTTCAAGTGCCATTCATTGCAAATTGAAGTGTTTTATATAAGGGACATATGGTCGAAATTTCAACCCAGGAAACTGAATTTGGTTGAAATGGCAGTGATTTGAAATTTTTTCCATGTTGTGCGGGAGTTTTGTACACGAGAACACGCTATTCGTACTCTGTGCATTGTGCTGCTTTTGTGCGAAAATCAACATGCACTCTGCAAAGTTTACTGTAAATTCAAACCTGGCACCTTTGCTTGCAGAGGCGCCAATAGCCCCAATAACTGCCCCTCAAGTTTGCTCGAAGATAAATGGGATTTCAAAATTTGTTCTTTATTTTTATTACTACAGTTTTCTTTACACAGCCAATGCCACCGTCATGGATATTGCATTTCGTCAAAATGGCACATTCTAAAGCGTTGCTACATGTACTGTACGGTAGTGAGGAAAAATATGATAGCAATACATACATGTACATGTTATATTGAAAAGGCAAACCCCATGTGAAATTGTTTAAGAGTTACAAACAAACTACCCAGTAGCATGGTATCTTTTCAGGTCTTCTCAAGATTGATTAATAAAAGGTGTTTAAAGATGGCTTAAAAATTGTAATTTCAAAGTTTTAATCATCAGTTTTCATAACAACAATAAGTTAAACAAAAGAAAAATGAGGAAGCAAAATCAGATTTACTTGTAAATCGTTAAGACATCACTCTGTACACATCAAATTTATTTCATGAAGTTAAAAATGTTGGGGTCCCAGACACTTTTCATAGTGTTGCCCACATCTACATTGTACATTGTAGAGTGGACTGAATTACATGTACATTGTAGAAAGCGGTGCAGCAGATGTGTGCATTAGGCTAAAACTTTGGCTACTGTTTAAAATGTACACAATATACGTGTACACATGTACGGTACAAGCTACATGTAGCACCATGCAAACAATTGTCACCCACTCTGTGAAAATGAGTCTTAAGTCTCCAGAGCCACTTTGGAGTAAAAAGTCCTTTAGGATAATTTTGCACAGTGTAAATCAATAAGAATCCACAGCATTTTTCACCATGGAGTATCCACTTTCATCAGGATGCCAAACTGAGTGATACATCAAAACAAAAAGCTCAATGTGCTCTTTCCAACACAAATGAAAACTCAAAAAGTGGCTCTGATTTATGACTCATTTTCACAGAGTGGGTCACAGTTACATGTATACATGTTTACATGTACGTAGTTTCATTTCATTGGGCTTACACATGTACATGTACCTGTATGATTACAGGTAAATGTACTAGTAACAGACTTTATTGGTACATGTATACACATGTACATGTACTTGTACTGTAGTTGTGCAAGGCTGTATACTGTACATGTACGGTACATGTATAAGAAAATAATAAAACAAGAAAAAGACTAATATAAAAAGCCAACAATATACATGTACCCTAATAAACAATCCCACCCCCCCAAAAAACACAGACTTCTATGACAGAAGAATTACATGTACATGTACAATTTTTCATCCATTGTTTCAGTGCACTTTACACTGCATATCCACAAGTTTTGAAAATATATGACTCACCCGGTAAGATGAGCGATATGTCGTTAATTGACACTTCATCTGTTGAATTCTGATTATATGATAAAGTACATATAGATCAAATTTCTTAATTGTTTTCTTTATTTTAGCAGACAGTAATTGTTTATTATCAATAAAATGGATATTAGCATTTTGCAAAGAAACTCGTCATTTGTTCACAGTACAGTATGCTGATTTCCAATTGCTAAACTCTGTAACCTTAACCCTTGCAGACATTATTTGGAAGAGGTCATATGGGACAGTACTGGATTTTACCAGATGCCTGATTATCTCTTGAAACTTCAACATTATACATACCGGTACATATGCACAGTATGTTGGGTTTCTGACTTTCTTGGAAGAACTTTGGTCCTCGGGGAATAAAAAGTGCATTAAGACCGTGTTCGTGGATACAGTGTGAAGTTCAGTTAATCTGGCTTTGGGTGTGCACTTTGCCACCTGTCATTTCCCTTCCCCGGATTTGGATCATGGACGTACATACATATACATGTACATGTATCCCTCTCACTCTATGAACCCATTACATATTTATTTGAAAGCTAACGTTTGAACAGCCTGTCACGGATTGAACATTAACAAAAGCCTGCACTTTCCAACTGCCTTTTACATTTACATGTATGGTAAAAAAGAGACTGCTGGCATGTTAGTGTTTCACCCGGTAACCCAGAATTTGAACTCACTTTAGAGCGGCAAAATTTCTGTGCTCTGTTAATGCACTCTATTCTCGACAGTTTTGAACAACAAACACTTTCATCTCACATTTCTCTCCGTTTCACTGCCTGTCATTGAGCAGAATCGGTGCATGGTACCGGCATAGCTACTGGTACCAATAAGCTCTCTTTATTTCTCTAGAATCTCTACTTCAAAGCCCGTTGGAAAAGTTATACCTTGTGTAACTGCCTGCTTGTTTGCATTGTCATGGCAGAAGTGTGAACCTAAACAACAACATTTAGGGGCACAGAGTGGATGCAGCACAAACTCCCTGGTCTTACAACAGTTAAAAGGTTTGAGGGGCCAACAGTCCAAGGGCCTATTTTGAGATTTTGTTGAATAAAATTATCAATTCATTCTTTCCCTGCTTTCCTTTTTGTTTTATTAAAAGGGTAATTCCAGAAATTAGGGGTCCATTTTTTGTGTGTGTCCCTGTCACGTCTGACATACGTGTATAATTTTGTAAGTTTAGAACACATTTTCTGATTTCCAAGAGTGATGAATTAATGCAACTTACCTGCCAGACAAATTTTAATAGTTTGAATTAATTCCGGGAATACTTCCATGTCAAATAACAAAGGTCAGATGTTACAGGGACACGAAAATGTCACACTTTTGGACCCCTAATATCTGGAATTACCCCCCCCCAAAAAATTCCCAAGCAGGTTTTCTAAAGACACATGCACGCCTCAAAGATGTTGAACTTTGCCTAAAAATGTCGCCAATTTTGCTAATTTATGTTTCCATGTACTACTGCAGTACTGGTAGAAATGTGTACTTGTGTGCGTTACTCCCCCCCCAGCCTCTGACCACGGGAGGGGGGAGACATGTACATGTATGGCACAATCAACATCCTTAAACCCCCAGGCAGTTACAGAATTGATGGAGGACACCAATGACCCAGCTGGCTGGAGATCAGATGTGCCATGTTTTAACGAAAAACGCTAAAGGCGACGATATTTTGTTTGCACCACGGAGCAAGAAAACAGGACTCAATTCAAAAATTGTTCTATACATGTATTGTATACTGAGTGTTTCAAATTGTAATGAAAGAAAATTCAGTGTTTGTCCTCCACACAACGGTTGTCTTTCTGGCATTCTTAAGCCCCTTCTAAAATCTAGGAGCTATGTTTCCATGGTTACAATACATGGGTCTCTTGTGCACCAGGTGTGGTACTGGTACATGTAAGTACATGTACATGTACAGCTGTACAGTAAATGACATGTGCCCCTTACATGTGTGCTGTGCTGGCCTCACTCAGCATACAATGAACAAGAGATGTATGGGCTAGTTCATTAATTATAAAGGGTGGAAATGAAACACCTACATGTACATGTAGGTTCATATACCGTTGCATATAATCCATTCAAAGGTTTGTGTGAATTTTGCCAGCACTCAGAGAAGTACATTGTACATGTACATGGTAGGGGTACCAGTACGTACTGGTATGAGGCACATGTATAAAATGTCAGTTCAAGGCCTATCTGTGTACCAGGTACATGTACTTTGCAGGTTGGATTTGAAAGGTTAAAGTTAGCCCCTCAGTCATTTAAATATGTACCACCCTCTCAGTGTTAATGTTGCAGTCCACCAAGTACTGGCCAATCAGTCTCCAGCAGTCTTAAAATCCTGTGGCCAGTGACAGAAAGGTTTTCCAAGCATTCTGAATAGAACAGCAGGGAAGCTTGTGCATTGAGAAATGTTTGTCCACTCACTACCTATCTACTGGTACAGTAGAGCACTCTTTTTGACACCTGTCCTGGGACATCAAAAAAGGGCCAGGTAACCAAGCCAACAAAAATAAGCACCAGCTGCAACAAACTAACCGACCAGTTACTAGTATTTGGCAAAGTTCAAGTGGTTAGTGATAATTTCTGTTATTACCTGTGGTGAACTCATCGAACCACCTGATGCAGAAACTTGCTGTGGATCAAAGTTCTTTCAGAAAGCTGGAGTGCATTTCCTACATACGGTGCACTGAGATGGAAAATCAGTTTCACTATCAAGGTACATGTAAACTATGTGCAATTATAATCAATTTTCACCAGTTTTACGGTGGTGTGCTGTGATAAATGACTGATGATTGACTTGTCCAGTTTATTTTGTCTGCTGCATATTTAACATGCATTATCCAGAAATTCAAAAGAAATTGAGTTATTCTTTTTTAAGTCTAATTTCCGTTTAAAAGAATTCAGTATGCACGTACGTGTATCAGATACATGTAAATTTTTTGAATTCCAAAACGAAATTAAAAAATTGGATGCTGTAATGCCATAAACAGCATAGGATGTGCCCCTTTTCTATGGTTTAGCATGGTCTTAATCAGGATTTAAAAACAATTCTTAACAGCTAAGGTGAAACTCCATTGGGCTGTTTGCTTTGGCTCTTTGGAATGTTGCTCACAGCAACAAACCAATAACTGACCACCTGCAC